TTACCTTACTTGATATGGAAAGACGTACCGGAGAAATGTGGCAACGCCGCAACAGCACACCGTTGCATTTCTCTCATTCCGACTTAATAAGATCCCTATACGATTTACTTCCACACATGTGAATACCGACCCAAAAGTAAGAGTTGCCAGCACGGTATAAGGTATAACTTATCGTATCGTATAGGCTAGCCTTAATGAATTACGTATATTTTGCATTGATTAAGAATTATTTTAGAAATGTTTCATTTTGATTTTTTTTGATAAGGAGGAAAAAATTATTACTTATAATCGAAAATCTATTTTAAACTGATCCAAATGAAGCAACATGTTAAAAGTGGTAAACAAACATAATTTATCAATATGATAATAAATATATCAATAACACACTGGATCGAAATTATTTTGTCTGGAACCAAGAAATTGGAACATATAGTCGAGCCAGAGTATAGAGGCGCGTGACCTATATCGAGGTAATTTATTAATTACAATTAACAGTAAAAAATAATCATTTCTCATATAGCTCTCACAAGGGCAATTCACAGTTCATTTACTCTTAATAAAGTAGTGGGCCTTTTTTAGTAAAGAATACTATAGTTTGTAATGTTTTTTTAATAAACCCCATAAAAGATTTAAAATTAACTGTGAATCGCCCAGTACATTTTCAAAAATTACATAATTCATTTTGTCACATAAATTCTGGAATGTACGAATACAGTAACTTATTAATCATAGTAAATATAATTCATACATTTAAAAAAAGTTTGAACAGATGGTTAAAAATATACCGTATGGTCGAAAAAACGGCGTCCAGTTGGCTTGGAAATGACGATCATTGACATTCTCTATACAGGGTGTCCCATATATAAGTATTTTAAGGGGTGGTAGATCTCGATAAAAGAAACATATTTTCTCTTTATCGTTTTTCAAATAAGTCCAAAATAACGGAGTTATTTTACTTTGAAAATTTCCAAAAAAATAATTTTTTGCTAAAATTCTGAGAACCACTTGATCTTTTTTGGATTTTCTTTCTTGTAAATTTAATCTAATACCTTGTTGCCATATTATTAAGAAATTATGTTTTTTAACTAAAAACTAAAAAAAATTCCAAATAATTTCAAATTTTCAAAAAAAAATTTCGCGAAAAAAACCTCATATTGTGTTTCTGGAGTTGAACTACACTACCAGTTAAAATACTTGCACTTATTTCTGGGACACCCTGTATAATTTTACGTACAAACGACAGTGATCTTCATTTGCAAGATCTGAGGCCGTTTTTTAGATCGTATGCCCAAAAAATAATTTAAATATGTATAAGTAGGATTAGATCAGTTAAAAGTTGTTTAGAATTCAATTTTACGTCTATGTACCAATTCTCATACATAGGGGCTTTCAGAAAATATAACTTTTTGTCCCATAATAATAATGAAAAATTTAAAATATCAATGTTCAATATACCTATTAAATGTGTTTTTTTACATAAGTAATAGAGAATCACATCTTTGAAAAACAAGTCTTTCTAAGATTTCATTGAAATAATAGCATTTAAATGTATTTTACTATGATTAATACACTACATAGACTTTTACAAAAAAAGAATATTATCACCAATAATTCAGTTATTATAATTAAATGAGCACTACAAGTTTTATTGCTTATAAATAAACTAAAATCTAATAACTAGATACCAATTTTCGGTATCTATTATCTGGTTAAAAATACTTTTATTATAGCTTTGGTTAATATGGCTTTTAATAGTCTGCTTCTATTAGTGAGTTACTAAAACGCTAGCAGATAGATCGGTGGGTTTGCAATCTGATAATAGCTACATTGCTAGAACCAGAAATAAAAAAATAATTGGGCCCACCTATTCATATTTTTTAAATAAAATATTCAGGATTTTTGACTAGTAAACTAATCATCTTTACTTAACACACTGGCTAAATAACAGCCGGCGGTATTGTTATACCGGCGGTATACAGAAAGATACCGCCAACCGGCGGTATGAGATTTCTATATCTGTGAATACCGATGGCAAATTAAATTAATTTGTTGTTGACGGCGGTATGCACTTAACCTGGTAGATAAAGGTCATCCAACGGCGGCATAGCATATTTTAAATATCTTATACCGTCGAAATATACTAAATTCAAACCGCTGACTTTAACTTACTATCCCGAATTTACAATCCAAGAGGATCTATACAGCAGCTGACTGAAAATCTGATGTGAGAAGTTCAATTTTAAAATCAAGACATTCAAAGCAATCAAATTCGTATTAAAATTGAAAAAAGGTAGCGGTCACAACATAATCTTTATTTTTGCATTTCAATCAGATGATCAAAAAAAGTTTAGTGTTTGTTGCTATCATATTTTGCATCTAACATGTCCTCTATGAAAACGGCTATTTTTGTACGCATTGTAGTTTTATTTTGACGACAGTACCTAATCGCGCATCTTATGTTGATAAAAACAATACCACATAGAATTTAGTAAAATAAGGGCGGTATTTCTGTTCAAAAAATATGTATACCGGCGGTATAGCTGTATTTAAAAAAGTATACCGGCGGTACATCTGTATTTAAAAAATATACCGGCGGTATATATGCATACAAAAAAGTATACCGGCGGTATATATGCATACAAAAAAGTATACCGGCGGTATATCTGTATTTAAAAAGTATACCGGCGGTATATATGTATACAAAGTATACCGGCGGTATTCTTTACGTATTTAACGACAACGGCCCAAGTTACCTCGTTGTTAGGCGGTATTCAACGGCGATATATCTGTATTTACAAAAAAAGTATACCGGCGGTATATCTGTATTTAAAGAAGTATACCGGCGGTATTCTTTACGTATTTAACGACAACGGCCCAACTTACCTCGTTGTTTGGCGGCATTCAATGCCAATAAATATTTAAAACCGTCGAACAGCGGTTTTTCTTTTGTCAATTGTCTATACCGCTGGCAGTAATTTAGCCAGTTTGTTTTTTACAAATAAAACAATATAAAGTTATTAAAATAATAAGACATGTTTGAGCTACTATATATGGCTAATAAAACTTAACTGTTTTATTACAGGTTTTTAACAGTCATAGATATTTTATGGTGAATAAAATAAATGAAATGAATGGGTCCTCTTATTTCACAATTCATGACAAATATCTTTGGAAGTATTTTTGCAAAAAGACAAATATAAGGAAGTAATTGTTACAACAAATTAAATATATGTTCGTATACAGAACCTAGAATAATATTCCTAACTAAATAATATAGTTATTATTAAAATAGTCAGGTTATTTCAAGAATCACCATTGAAAATAAATTTATAAATATTTTTTTCTTCAGAAATCTTTGTTTCTCTAGCTATTATATTTCTCTGTATACTTTTCTATGTCTTATGTATCATTTAATGTGGTACCCTCTTTGTAATTCAGCTGCTTTGCAGATAATTTATTGTTATTTATGCTAAAGATAAAATAGGCATCTTGAAAAAAGTGTAATAATTAGAGTAATCATAAAAACATTTTATTATGATGTATATTTTAAGGAAGTTTTAGCCTTACAAAAAACCACAGCCTTATACAAAAAAAAATATTTTGTTAACCCTTTGAAATGTAAACCACCTAAAAATGTTATGGTTTATGATTACTATTCTGTAGTTTTTCTTTCACTAAATACCTACAGCATGTAATGTAAATATAAAAAAAATTGTTTTAAAGAAACGAATCTTTAGGTTAAAACTCCACTTTGGTTTTAGAATCACAAAATAGGTCATATACTGTAGCATACCTATTTGTACACTTAATTCATGATACCTAATAAAAATAAATTTGTTAAAACATATTTAAACAAATTTACAATAGTGGTCAATTATATCATGCAGTCAAAAAAAAATCGGCATCGTGGTGGCCTTTGAAAAGATCTGCCAGTGTCTACTGCCAGTTCCAACCATGCCATTCTTACTCAATATACTTTTTCCTACATTAAAGGATATTTTTTTAGAGTTTTATTTCTATGCCAACCTTGACGTCGTTTATTTTCGTATTATACAATATTATAAAGTAATAAATACTTAAGTTGGAATTATATTTAAAAAATTATACCAAATTTCAAGCCTATTTTCAGCGGATGGAATATTTGGAGCTTACTACTGACGCCCAGTTGGTTGCAACACCAAATCATATATATAACCGTGGATTCGTGACACCCTAAAGTTTGTAAAATAACTATAATTTCTATTAGGATTGTTATAGTTTCAATATGGAAGTGCGCTAAAAAACTGTTATATCTATGTAACAGTTGAAACTTGAAACTAACAGTTAACTGTTACATTTTTATTTAGAAATAACAGCGTAAAACAACAGGTTTCTGTTATATTTATCGATTTTATTAATAAGTTAAACAGTCAATATATAAAAAATAAATGAGTACATTTTAATACACATTTCTTATTATGACCATAGGAACATCCCAGTGTCTGTTATTTTCTATTTATTTAAAAATGTTTTTTTCTAACAAACAGCAATAAGGAGCAAAAAGTACTAATATATGATAAAACCAGTACCTTTGCAACCTCACAACACTTACAACCCTACAAAAAAAGTGAGATTGTTATTTACCCGCTATCGAAATTAAACTGTAAGCTTGGAAAATTTAGTCGCTCAGGGATCCAGCTTCATTGAGCTACAGATGACAATGAACTGTTATTTTCATGTAATTGTTTGGAACTAGCAATTGCGGTATTGTTGCGACCCTGAGAAAAATCCCCGTGGCGATGTGAGAGCTTGGAAGAACTTCGTAGCGAAGAGATCCCGTCTTCCCATCATGGGCCATCAATATCGGCGTACTGTTATTTTCATACCTGTTATTTTTTGAAAATAACAGCTGTTCCGAGTCTGCAATCACTCTATCCGCACTGTTATTTCCATATCTGTTATTTCTTGGCTTGGAATTACAACATCGCGAGCCTTCGATGTCGGCAAATTGTTATTTTTTTGGAAGCTAGTCATAGCTTGTCCACACTGTTATTTTCATAACTGTTAAATCGGGAAAAACAACAGTTAGCAGCGAGCTTGCTAAAATTTGGTTGTTTGACAAATCCAATTTTACATTGTGAGCTATAGATTTCAGCGTGCTATTATATATGTTAGTTTTTCTAAGTAACAACTGTGGCGAGCCTGCCATCGTTCTATTCGCACTGTTACTTTCATTTCTGTTACTTTTACGTGAGAACAAGATACCGGCTACACATCGCGAACCGTTGATGTCAGTAAACTTTTATTTATATAACTGTTATTTTTTAGAAGTAATAACTGCAGCGAGCGGTATCTGTATGTCCACTGTTATTTTCTTACCTGATATTTTTTGGAATTACAACATCGCGAGCCTTTGATGTTGGCAAAATTTATTTTTTAGAAATAATAACTGTTGCGAGCCAGTCATAGCTTGTCTGTACTGTTATTTTCATACCTGTTATATTGAGAAAAAGTTGCTAAAATTTGGTGGTTTGACAAATCCAATTTTACATCGCGAGCCGTTGATGATAATAAACATTTATTTATAATCTGTAATTTTTTAGAAGTAATAACTCTAGCCAGCGGTATCTGCAGGTGGACTGTTATTTTCTTATATTATTATTAGTTTATTGAAGTAACACCTGTTGCAAACTTTTTTTTAAATAACAGTTGGGAAATACCCGAACGTTAAATAGCATTGCTTCTCTAGGCAGGAAAAATATCGTTAAATAATAAGAGGGATTAACTTAGCTTTACCCACAAAAGTATATATGATCTAGTGTTGTAACAAATCTATTTTCACTTATTCACCAAGAAAAATATGTTTTGTTGTTTTGGCTACGTATCAATGACCACTACTGCCTTTAATCTAGAACCTTAGTCTATCATATACCCATGGCAAGCTGTACGGCTTGAAAACGTCCAAAAACGGAAGCACTAAAAGGAATCAACTAGAATCTTTCGTCATAATGTATGCCTGTGTATAAGCATGCTAACGTTTGCGCTCTTCTTATAAGTAACGTTGCTAGTCCGTACTTTCTTATCACCACCCGCATGACAGTCACCGTTAACATTTCTATACGTGTTCTCTACTACACAGTCGTTAGTATTGTCACCTGTCTCGAAATTAACACAACTCTCGTTATGCACCTCCGCACTAACTACTATGTTATTACTATTCTCCGAACCGGTACCGCTGGTACTTTTCAAGTCTTCCTGTTCGTTTCGGCACTTACCGTTACCCAAAGCGAACTCTAAGTTATCACAGCTGCCGCTGATGCTGTTATTCTCGGAGACCAGCTCGTTGACGACGGTGATTTCCGGTTGGCTTGGTTTGTGCTGCTTGGATTCGTCGTGAGTCCACATGATAATCACTCAGTCTATCCTGTGCGGCCCGAGTCGAGCGGTGTCCGGGTTGCCCTTGTAGATGTAGACTTGGAGGAGGATGAGCAGGTCGATGGCGACCTGCATCGAACCGCACACCCAGAACTGGAGAGGGGCGGATCGGAGCAGGAAGTATAAAGTCTTGAAGATATCACCGCAGGTCCACAGCACGACCATGGTCAAGCTGGAAAGGGAAAAAGTAGTAGGTAACGAAAAATACTAAGTAAGCTTTTAAAGGGACTGTTGGTTATGACTCAATAAAGTGGGACGAAGTGGTCACGGATTGTGTGGGAGTTAGTAAAGGTTATTAAATTAAACAGGTTGCCTCGTAACTTGACATTAGCCGCCATATTGCGCGTCATCGAGTAATACTTGTGGGTGGTACTTTCGTTTACAGCTTGATTACAAATATTTTTATATTGTTTTCCGTGCATTAAGTGGACTTTTCATGTAATAGAAAAGTTTTAGTGGACTATATTATTTTTAGTTTTAGTGTACTTAACGTATTATAATTGATGAACTAGATATTTTTTATTATTTGCCAAAATCAACCACAAGTATTATACACATGACTATAATATGTTGCACTAACCTTCCCCGACCCCCTAAAAGAAAACAATTAAAAAATAGTAAAATATACCCATCACTTTTAAACTAAGTGTTGCAAATTTGAGAGCGATTTTGTTTAAGCAAAAAATTATGGCTATTTCTTTATACCTCTTAGGTCTTTCACACACATAAATGGGGTAAAAAGTGTTTTTTTCTGTAAATTGAGAACCTCAAAATATTCGGAAATGTACTTTTTCAACCAAATCAAATAAATAATGACTAATTCGTCTTTTCAACTTTTTTGAATCCGCTATTTTGTCTTTATGAAAAGAAACACTAAATTAAGATCTTAACAACTGCAATGTCCAAATGTCAAATTAAGAGTCAATTGGAAAAGTGTGAGATGGTAAAAAATTTCTTACAAAATTAGATTAGATATACAGGATGGTCCGAACTGTATTCAAGACACTTCAGCAGCATGTTCTGTATATAAAAATAAGTAAAAAAGTTCGTATAAATGTATGTCCTAAAATGCTTAGTTTCAGAGATACAGAATAAAGAAAAAAACTATTTAAAATATTTAAATTCAACTATTCGAGAACACACAAGTTTTTTAAAACAGATACTTCTACAAAAATCGTTGACGTTCTGTTAAAATGACATTATATCAAGTTAAACTTCAAAATTAATAATTACTATCTGATAGCAATTACTTATGGCGATTTCGACTGGCTGCACTAAGCCGCACTCAATGCGAACTCGAACAGAATTACAATTTCGACTGGTAAGAGCAAAGCAAGAGCAATGTAAAATTGTGTTCAACTCGCGTCGCACTGACCCGGTGCGGATTGTTTTTTCGTTCGGCTGCATCAGAGCAGTTTCGTAAACTAGCACTCAGTGCAATAATTTTGGAACCGTAATACATGGTCGGTTCTGTCTAGTTCGCTCCAGCACTGTGCAAGTGCAACTCTTTGAGCAGTTGCTCGCCCTGAGAGCATTCGAATAGAACCGGTGCAGCCCAGTCGAAATCGTCACTAATAAGGCAAAACCAAAAGCCCCAAACTTTCTGTATGATTATTTTTAAATTTTACGTATGTTATGTTCTTTAAAATCAAAGAAGCGATTGCCATACATTACTAACATCTACAGATGCATGAGCAATACATTTATTTTTATTATATTTGTAGACGTATCTGTTTTAAAAAAGTAAAGTGTTCTCGAATAGTTGAATTTAAATATTTTAAATAGTTTTTTCTTTGTTCTTTGTATTTTTTTGCTTCCGACGACGGAAAGAGATAAACTTTCCGGAACGTTCAGCATTTTTTTCTTTGTTAGGCAAATTTGTATAACTGCAAACCTAACTTCTGACAAGTAGTTTCCGTTTGGGTTTAACGCAGAAGTGTTTACAAAAAATAACTATTTTATTTTGTAGATTTTTTTGTTGCAGTGGCGAAATACCCATATAGGATTTTTTGGAAAGACTTATTAACAGAGTATTACTTATACGGTACAAACATACCTCATGCCCTCTGTGGACTTGCTCCTGTAATTCTTGATAAGTTGGGGCACGCCGAGCAGCGCCTCCGTGAACACGGCCATGAATCCGACCAGCTCGACGAAAATCTTATACTCTATAAATATGTACATCAGCAGCGAAGCGAGTATCGTGAACACAAGCATACAATCCAGGTACGAATGAAAATCCGACCAATTCCAGAAGTTTTTCGCTTCGAAATCTACAACATAAAGTTAAACGATGGGTATACGACGTAATGAGAAAAAAACACATGCATATCCCTCTATGATCACATTCCAACAAAAAAAGTCAATCAATATGATTTTAATAGCACAGCACTGCAGCCTTAACAGCGCTTTCACATGCGACGGATCGTCCGTCGTGTTTTTTCAAGATAGCCGTCGGACGAACTCCGTCGGCCGGAGCATACGCGCCCATGTGAAATTGTTCATATAAGGTCTGTTCTCAGAAGAATCCCTGACTAGTCAGCACGTTTCTCATTGGTTAAATGCATAGAAACCTGATTGTTAGTCTGGTTTCTACACATTTCAACCAATAAGAAACGCGCTGACTAGTCAGGGATTCTTTTGAGAACAGGGCCCTAAACTCTTGGTACTTGCTCGAAGTTGCGGACGCTCCGTCGCGGACGCTCCGCTCCATTTGAAAGCGCTGTAAGGCTTATTCTTCTTAGTTATTACTCTGAATCCTTTTTATACCTGAGTGACTATTAATAAGCTTGATTATATCCATATATCCTCTAAAATAGTCTCTTAAGTTCCTTAAACATTGAACACGTCGCATTATGTTTTTATAATTAATGTTTCTTAGGTCTGTCTAAGTCTTCTAATTTCATCTCTTTATTACCTTTTTTAATTACAAATTCTAAATTAGAAAATAAAACAACCGATCGGATACCAAAAATAGTTTCGTTGAATCTTCTCATTTGAAAATATTGACAATATAAAAAAACGAAATACCGCCACTTTTTTTATTTAAATTTACAAAATAATATGTAGCATTTTAAAACATATCAGTGGGTCAGACTTCATAGAACACTTACACTTACTGTCCGCTAGATGGGTTAAATGTAGAATGTATTAATTAGTGTGGTCTCTGGGAAATAGTTGTCAACCATGTATGTCAGAGGTCCTGAAATGACGTTTTTTTCTTATGGCATAAACTCTCTTTAGACATATGTCACTCAAAGATATTTCTTCTGATCATATGATAGAAACCACAGTGCTACCAGAATAGATCTATCAAGAATACCAATCAATAGTAAAAACTATGATGATCAAGCAAATATTGAATTTTTCGCTCTTTGTAAGAAAAAAAAATATCTTTGTGTATATTCAATGAGACTGCAAAAAAAATGATGTCCACATTCAATCAATCATCCCCAACCTCCAACTAGTTTTTATACAGATTTATCTACAGTGTGTTGAACTTAATATGAAGACATCCACCTATGATTTTAATATCCCCACAAGTTTAATTTAAAAAATTAGTAAAAATAAAAGAATTATAAAAATAATTTATTTAAAAAGTGATTACACACATCATGACAAAAATGTATATACCAACCTGCATAAATATATAAAGATGTAAACCTTTATTCTTTAAAAGATAACAAAAAATTCAAAGTGGTGTCAACTTAATTGCAACATACTGTATATACTTCAAGGTATAATTTTTTTCTTAAAGTAATGTAATAATAAGCCTTAAAACTAAACGAAAAACGAGTTTTAATAACGTCACCATTTTTGAAATACAGGGTGGTCCTTAAATAAATATGTCAAGACAATTTTGAAGTTTTAAATTACATTACTTACATCCCAGTTATATCCATAAAAATAATATAGACGGTGTTGCATTTAAAAAAATTGAGATATAATATTTTAAATATTGTGATGTTAAATGTTGTGAATATCTAATAATTAAGATATTAATAACAGTGAACAAGAAACGATGATTCAGTGAAGTCATGGTAGGCTTTGAAAAAAAGTTGCTTTTGACGTAATAGTATAAACGTCAAATTGTTATTAGATCAACATTTTGATAGTCTTAGCAGCGTTTTTTATCTTTTGATTGCTTTTTCAAAATTCCAACAATTTCACCTACTTCAAATAATAAAGGAAAAATATGTTGGATTCTGATCATAAAATTTTGTTGGATTCTGATCATCCAGTCCGGAGTTATTAACATTTAAATAAAGATAGATCTAACCTTCCACCACCACTTTATTTAAGCAGATAGGGGAAAATGGTTCTAACAAAGAAAATCCAAAATTTACTGAAGATTATGAAGCTATTATTTATAGTACCCATTATCTAGGCAAAATTCTGTAAAAATTCTATTTTCTTATTTTCCATAGCAGTTACGCCCCCTAGCGGCTGTTTTACAAACTTGAAAGTAATTTCTCATAGCCCGTTTAGTTATAAATATTTTTTTCCGTAAGCCCTACGGCTAATACTTTCCGAGATATAGCCGAGAGCTATTCTTAGTGGGACACCCTGTACAGGAAAATGAGGAGTGCATTTAAAAAATAAGACTTTATCATACCTTTTTTTGATGACACCCTGTATTCAACAAAATATTTTTAGAATATGCCCCTTTATAAACCATGCAACACCTGTGTAAAAAGATTTTTTTTGTATATTTGGCAACGAGGACGATATTGGACTTCCTCGCACTAATGGGCCACCCTGTATATTTTTTTAATTTCTGCTTAAATAAAAAAAATAATAAGTTAATACAGCAAAAGGAGATATTAATAACAAATGCTATATTTTGTTTCTGTTTTAAAATTATGTCAAGAAATCTAGCCCCAGCCAAATTAATTCCACATAAATGTACTTTAGGACCACCCTGTATAAATTATGTGCTTCACACCAGATTAATAACGCCCCTCGATGAAAATGAACGAATCGAAATACGAACACAAAACTTAAAAATAATATGTTAGTATCATTTTTCTTGGGGGGTTAGTCGAAAGCAGAAAATTTAGATGGATAAGCAGAAGCGTGCAGGCCAATTACCACAGATACGTTGAGGAGGGCGAGGCTTTGCGGAGAGAAGTTTTAATCTCTTTACTTCTTGGGTATTAGCTGCCAAATAAAAAAGTAAGCATCAAAAAAATTGAGCCAATTTGTAAAATAAAGTAATTTATACACATATAATAATCACTCTATGTGATAGCATATTATACCGTATGATCGAAAAAAAACGGCGTCAGCGATGGCTATGAAATGAAGATGGCTGTCATTTTATATGTAGGTAAATTTATATGGGAAATCATCGATAGTCATTTCCCAGCCAACTGGACGCCGTTTTTTTTTCAGGTAAAAGACACGAAAAGGTAAAAGACACGAAGCTTTTTTTATTTAAATATAAAAAAGATAGTTAAGTATGTTGTTTCTTCTAAAATGATGCTATTTAGAGCTTAAGTAATATACAGGGTGGTCCAAACTGTATTCTGGAAATTTCGGCAGTATAAAAATAAGTAAAAAAGTCCGTATAAATGTATGTCATAAAATGCTTAGTTTCGAAGATACAGGGTGGTGAAGTTTCATTTTTATTTCAATTTTTTCCAAATAATTTAAGTAGGTAACGTCAATATTTGGATGAAAATTGGTGTCTGGGAGTTCTTTAACGTAAGAAATTTGATTTTGATGTCATTATGACTCCCATTTGTAGAGGGCGCCACCTACATATTTTTTAAATGATTTGAAGAGTAATAACTTTTCGTCCGTAACTGTATAAAACTACTGAGTAAAAAAATATTCATTTACGACGTTTTTTACGTAAAAAAAGTCTCTTGGTATAAATCGCTACGAGTAATGGTTTTCGAGATACTTATTTGGAATTGAAATTATCAATACCTGTCATCATTGACATAAATTAAACATGTTGACTAAATAGTTATTAGACTGAAATCATAAATTTTAAGTGTTTTTGTGCCAAAAATTCAACAGAAACTGTTTTATCATCATTTTTTCGAAGAAAAATTTATTATTAATTTAAAAAATAAAAAGTTCCGAGAAAAGTTCTCAATTTTATCATTTTAGTCGTATAACTATCTACTCAACATGTTTATTTTTTGTCAATAATGACATGTATTGACTGTTCCACTGTTGAAATCACGGAAATATATATTTTTTCACTCATTAGTTTTATACAGGTACGGACGAAAAGTTATTACTCTTCAAAACAGTTGTTAAAATACATGTAGTTGGCGCCCCCTACAAAGAGGGGTCATATTGACATCAAAATCAAATTTCTCATGTCAAAAAACTCCCAGACACCAATTTTCATTCAAATATTAACGTTACTTCAGAAATTATTTGGAAAAAATCGAAATAAAAATGAAACTTCTACACTCTGTATCTCCGAAACTAAGCATTTTAGGACATACATTTATACGAACTTTTTTGCTTATTTTTATCTGCAGAATATGCTGCCAAAGTTTCCGAAATACAATTCGGACCACCCTGTATAATAGTAATTAAGAAGTACTAAATTAAATCATTAATGTTTGCTAATGAATAAAATTATTGGTATTATTTACAAGCTAATTAAGTAATTAGGAAGCTAAAAGGGTATAGATACAATTATTATATTTATTAAATACCAGAGAAATTCTATAAAACTACCATAGAATTAAAATTTTTAAGTCTATAAAAACTATCCATATCTATACAAGGTAGCCAAGCATTGTAAAAAAGATCCATTTGAGATTTTCTATTTGGGATTTTTACCTATTTTTTTGTAAAATACAGCGTGTCCAAAAATTATGCAGTCAAAGAACTACTATGTATTTTTAGAATCAAAATAAGTTAATTGCACACAATTTACTTCTATACGAAAGTGCTTCATTTGTCCTTTACAGTTAAAGTTCAGTATTACAAACAGTATGCTTATCATAAACGAACCCAGGTTTTACCTAATTTAGATAAGGATTTCCATTTTTTAAAATTTATATGTATTGAATAATTTTTTAAAATACCTACAGCACACAATTTGCCTACCTTTTTTTACTTAATATGAGAATTGTCTCATTGAAAGATATATTATCTAGTAACAACAAATTTGGGGATGTAGTGAAGATGTTTTTTTTTGGAAAATAAAAATTATTTTTTGATATACTTCACCAAATAAAAAAAATAATCAAAACATAAAGTTGAATAATAACTACAACAATTTAGTTCATAAAATACTGGGTGTTCCATTAGAAACAGTGAAGAAATATAATACAAAATATAGGTTTATCCAACCCTGGAATATTTTTTTTTTAAATGTATTTTTTGTATTTTGAAGTGGAATATAACATATTTTTTTAATATAATTAGTTCAAAAATGTATATCACTTCATAAACCACTCAATAAAGATTAGATATGACAATACAGTAATTACTGAATAAAAATGTTAATTTCTTTTTAAACATGTGTAACCAATGCTAACATAGTTTATAAAAAAGATGTGTAGAAATTTCTAATTTAAGCCTTAAAATGGAGCTTTTTTGTAAAACTGAGATACCTTGTATAGCTACTAATAAATCTATTATGAAGAAAAATAGAGGGCCCTTTAATTTATACATTTTTTAGAAAGATTTAAACCACTGAAATTCTATAGAAAATACTAGTTTAGTTTTATATCTATCTACACTGTAAATGTACTGTAATATGCTTTGACCTTTCCATCTATGATAATCTCGATTATCAAAAATAGTTGATTTATATGGACTAGCTTACACAAAAGGATTATGTTTTACTAAAATTAGATTTCCCTGTCGCAGTCATTTACATGTGACCTTTGAAAATATCAGGCTTAAAAGTCAAAAGTTCAAATTAAATACTACAGAAACAGAAAGATATTGTTACTAACAGAGTCGTACCTGTAAAAATCCTTTGCCTAGCCTGATGCAGCTGATTCTTGTTTCGAATTCTAACACACAAATGGATCATTGCGAACATAGTAACGTTCATTATTAAACTTTGAATTAGAAGTGGGTATTCAAAATGTTTTCCAAACCTATCAATAATGAATGTTTAAAAAAAAGGTTCAGGGGTTTATTTTTCACATAATTAATTACCAAAACATTATCCTTAAAGTATTGGCTATAAGTAGGGCTAAACAAACTAGCAGGGAAAAACCTTCAGCATCTTTGGTTCTCTTTATTTGCCTGTATTGGGGTATATATGGAATTACACCCCCAATTATCATAGCTCCGGCGCTGACCCAGCCAACGACATGCCCAACGGTCAACGACAACTCATCAGAGATTACCCAATCCATTCTTGAAAATGCTTGTTGAAACTATTTACACGTTTTCACATAATTTTTACAACAAATTAATTGAACAATATATTTTCAACATGACAGACACAGATCACAGATTTTTTAAATTGTCAGTGTTCTGTCTGTGGTTCTGTGTTCTGTCAACTATTGTCACTGTCATATGACTGTCATAAAACCACAGAAAATATAAAAAGTTTCAACCGTTTTCGATTACTAAACTTGGTTTTATAGATATCATATATAATTATAGTCATATATTTTATTTTTAAGAAAACAGCAATTGTATATGATTTTTTCTTCAACCGCATCAAATAAAATGGAACAAGTTCTCGTCCTCGAATTAAATTGTTTTTTTTTTTAAATTTGAGAATGTTTATGCTCCTTTACTAACCATACGAATAATAAACAAACTTACACTAATAATATTAAAAAATTGTAATTTTTTAACCGGTCACAAAAATATAACCGAGAGAAATCGTCCAAATCTTTTCTAATTTAATTAAATCATGTTTCTATTGCTCTGCCAGATAATTAATAAAATATCAACTATAGCAAGCTTATCACGATAAAGAATTATCCGCTTCCGTAAAAAAGTACATAATAATCCATAAATAAACAGTAAATGACAACAAACATGAATCATTAACTTTAATAACCGGAAAAATACCTAGAAAATATCCAATATCCAATTAATCCAAGTTTCTGGTGCGTATAAAAAAACAAAAGAACAAAAGTCAACGTCATCAACAGACTTTCTACTGAGAACTTTCAATTTATTGAACGGTTAACAATCTAAGAATACTACCAGTTTTAAATTTATTAAGATATACTTTTTAATAAACTCAAAATTCTACAATCTATACAGAAATTTAAAATAAGCAGAAAAGTTATTTAAAAATGAAAAAATACCGCCATATTCTTTTATATCTCCTAACCAAAAGTACTGTGACGTCATGAAACCATTCTCCGACCGAGTTTTTCGGTACCCGAGGTATTGATTGGTTAATAGAAATTTCTTTAAAGAACGCTTCGTCGAAAAAAGGTGTGTGAGGAGTGCAAAGCCGAGTCTGAAAAAGGTTCTAAAATAGTGTTTTTATCCAGGATTACAGGTAATTATACATATTTATTGTTTTATTAGACGTTTAGAAGTGACAAAACATATCTATGTCTTGTTTAAAACGTCAAACTAACCTGAAATTGACAATATTGACATGACATTCGTTGACATTTACTGAAATTTTTGTCATCTATCATCCTAATTCAAAAATTTCCTTATTTATTTGTTTATTTCACCCCTTGTGTAACAATTTTGTTCGTTGTTAAAGTCTTGGGCCAAAAAAAATGAATCCTCAAACCCCTCCCTTTTTCGTCGACGTCAGCCATTGCTACAGCGTTGCCTTACGCAGTTTACAAATTTTCTATATTAAATAATGACATAGTTATGTACTTTGTTATTAAACATTATAACATTAAAAACAATGTTTATAGGTGATAAAAGGGCAAACTACGTTAGAAAAACATGTCGTCTTCGCCTCAGTATGAGATACAAGAAGCAGGTGAGTACAATGCATGTACTTATATAACAGTAAATTTATAGCCATTTATTTCATTTGCCTAGATGCACAATATGTTATTACGGAACAGTCAAGATTTCAAACAAGTAGTGCTGAAGAGAATGAGTCTGCTTCTGATGAAGAGCAACAAATTCTCTATACACAATATGAGCCTACTTATGAGACCCAATATGAGACCTATTTACCAAGAACAGTTAAAAGAAGAGGTCATTTACCGAAAGATTCTGTAAAAATTTTGAAAAACTGGCTGTATGAGCATAGGTTCAATGCCTATCCAACAGAAATAGAAAAGCACGTTCTTTCACAAGAAACAAACTTGACTGTTTTGCAAATTAGTAATTGGTTTATTAATGCCAGAAGAAGATACTTGCCAGATATGATGCGGAGGGAAGGATATGATTCTATGCAGTATACTATCACTAGGAGAAGAAAGGCACCATCAAGGAGAGGCTCAGAAGAGGTAAAAATGTCTACATTACTATTTTTATTCTAACATTGCAAAAAACTTGATTTAATTTCTTTTTTTCTTAAATAATTTTTTATCATAGGTGTTGTATCAAAAAGGAAATAAAATAATGCGCCTTCAAAGAGTCAAAAGTGTTGGGGATGGTGAAGAATATGAAGACAACGGTAGTGAATATCTTATTGGTGAAAATGGAGAAATTATTACGGAGAAGAGGTTTAATCCCTGGAATGCTGATATACATTATGGACTTACGGTTAATCCAGCTGATAGGAGGTATGTATTGATCAAGAAAAACTACTATAATGTTTTCAAAATTCTATCTAACAACTGTTTATTTTGATGATTTTAATTCTATAGCTTTGAAAGTTATTAAAATAATAATATAGGTAGCTTGCCACTTTTATTTAGTACTTTGAATAAAAATCAGTAAATTTTATATGACGAAAAACTTGAACCAACCGCACTTTTTTAAACTGCATACTTTTAATCAAATTTGTGACTGAATTTTTCATTTGGCAACGTTGCCTAAGTCGCGTAGTAATCTTGCTTAAAAAAGTAGGTTTTATTGGGTAGTTTTTTACATTGTATGAAAACGTTTACAAATTAATCAAGTTTCTCTAAAAACACTGTTAATGACCTTTGTAAAAAATAGATCTTAATTTATTTCGCTATGTTTGGTCACTTTATTGATAATATAGGTACATTTTTATATGTAGAAATTTAAATTTAGGCAGAAATAATAGACAATATATGCTGGGAAGAAAGACATATTATCGCATTCTGTTTATTTTTTTACGTTTATGACGTGTTTTTACATATTTTTACATATTTTTACTGTTTTTACGTTTTTTTCCTGCATTATATTACAAGCGAAAACTAAGTTTGTTTAATGCCATAAACATACTGAATTTCAATGAATTATTTCAATATATAATGTCTTTGGGCCACCCTATACAAAATGGGTCTTAAATAAATGCAAATATTTTTAGCGGTGGTATATTTATTTATTTATTTATAATAAATATCTTTCTTGATGAGAAAATTAATTTCTTGGTGAGAAAATTGTTTTTTTTTTATTTTTTGGAAAAAATCTAGTGGTTTTCAAATTTTTTTTCCATTTTTTTTTATTTTCAAAGTAAAATATCTGGGCTATTTATCTCGACTTATATTTGAAAAACGACATGGAGAAAATATTTTTTCTTTATCGAGATCTACCAGCCTTGCAAATGTTTGCACTTATTTAAGACTCTCCCTGTATAACTAAGTAACTTTGGCTGTATTCCGCTGTAAAACCAGCTTAACCAGGTTGGTACACTATAGTAAGAGTCGGGTCCTGAAAAATATCGGTTTAATACGCAGCAGTTTGATAAAATAGTAGAAACGTCTGGAAATGTCAAATATTGACGTTTTTTGAGTTTCAATATTTCTTTTCATTTCATGCTTGATTCGTCTTTTCAATAGAGTTTAATGTCGAAAAAATAATTTGTAAATGAGCTGTTTAAATCGTCAGTTCAAGTTATTTTACAACAAAAAAAATTGAAGGATATACAGGGTGGTCCGAACTGTATTCCGGAAAGTTCATATAAATGTATGTCCTAAAATACTTAGTTTCGGAGATACAGGGTGTAGAAGTTTCATTTTTATTTCGATTTTTTCTAAATAATTTCTGAAGTAACGTCAATATTTGGATAAAAATTGGTGTCTGGGAGTTTTGTGACCTAAGAAATTTGATTTTGATGTCAAAATGACTCCTATTTGTAGGGGGCGCCACCTACATGCGGTTTGACTGTTTTGAAGAGTAATAACTTTTCGACGGTACCTGTATAAAACTACTGACTAAAAAATATACATTTCTATAACATTACGTAAAAAAATGTCTCTTGGTAAAAATCGCTACGAGCAACCGTTCTCAAGATATTTAAAATGGAAATAGTCAATACATGTCATTATTGACAAAAAATAAGCACATGCGTTGAATAGAGTTGTTTGACTGAAATAATAAATTTTTATTTTTTTAAATTAATCATAAATTTTTCTGCGAAAAAATGATGATTAAACAGTTTCTGTTGAACTTTTGGCACAAAAAGATTTTAAATTTAAGATTTCAGTCTAATAACTATTTGGTCAACATGTTTAATTTGTCAATGATGACAGGTATTGATAATTTCAATTTCAAATATCTCGAGAACCATTACTCGTAGCGATTTTTACCAAGAGACCTTTTTTATGTAAAAAAAGTTGTAAATGTATATTTTTTTACTCAGTAGTTTTATACAGGTATGGATGAAAAGTTATTACTCTTCAAACCAATTAAAGAATATGTAGGTGGCGCCCTCTACAAGCAGGAGTCAGATTGACATGGAAATCAAATTTCTCATGTCCAAAAACTCCCAGACACCAATTTTCATCCAAATATTGATGTTACTTCTTAAATTATTTGGAAAAAATCGAAATAAAAATGAAATTTCTACACCCTGTATCTCCGAAACTAAGCATTTTAGGACATACATTTGTATGAACTTTTTTACTTATTTTAATCTGCAGTATATGCTGCCGAAGTTTCCGGAATACAGTTCGGACCACCCTGTATAGGGTTGTTCACCACATACTACACAGAGTATTGTAGCTAAACGATTAGATTTTTACAAATTGGAAGTTTTGGGTTCGTTCAAGGATTATTAGAGCTACAATTTAAAAATAATTTTACAAGATACAGAGTGTCCCAAATATGTAAGTAAAAAATTTTATAGTTGTTTTTTTTTTAAATGGACCTCGTATATTATTCTATTTTTAGATTCTACAATTGAAATAAATATAAATTTGATTAAGGTTTATCACACTTAAACCTTACCGTTTTTGAAATTTTTTCAATTTGGTGAAATTGCAGTAAAAATTTTAAGGGTTTATTTCTCCAAAGGTATCAAAGTTTTTAATACTAAGTAATTATTTACTGAGGTTTATTTATTGTAAATATAAGAAAATGCATTTTCTACGAAACTTGAAGAGATAGGGAAAAAATGGTATAATACAATTTGATAGCCAATTAAATTGTGCATCTGATTCACTTAAAATATACAGGGTGTTCTATTTGAATTAAACAAGTTATTGCCATTTAAATCTAGTAATTATTTAATATAAATTTTTGGATACTCTGTATAAGGGTGTATAATTTTTATTATTGCAACACAATATCTGATCAATAAATAATCTTCAGTAAATATTTAGTTTTAAAACCTTTAATACCCTTGGAGAAATGAAGCCTTACATGTTTTACTGCGATTTCACAAAATTGAAAATATTTCAAAAACGGCAAGGTTTAAGTGTGATAAACCTTAATCAAATTTACATTTATTTTAATCATAGAATCTAAAAATAGAATAATATACAGGGTGTTGCATTTAAAAAAATACAACTATAATATTTTTTACTTATTGGGACACTCTGTATCTTGTAAAAATATGTTCAAATTGTAGCTCTAATAGTTCTTCAACGGACCTAAAACTTACAATTTGTAAAAATCTAATCGTTTAGCTATAATACTCCGTGTCGTATGTGGTGAACAACCCTGTATAACCTTGCAGTAGTTGCAGTGCAGTGGCGAAATACCCATAAAGGATTTTTTTGGAGAGATGAATCCGCCACATAGGTATAGACATTTTTTACAACCCTGTATAATTTCAAACAAAAAAAAAGCCTTTTTTGCGCTGGTTAATTTGGTGACAATAATGGCAGATATTTTTCAGGAACTGTGTTCTTTGATAATCAAAATTCCAGCCAGTTCATAGAAACAAAATAGAAAACCTTAACCAGGGTTGCAAAGGAATACAGCTTTTAAATAGTCCTCTCCCCTTTCCTTTTAAAGCAATCATCTTGTGTATTTTTTCACAATAATTAATTTACACCATGTATATTATTAATATGAGATTTTTTTGTATTTTTATCTAGTTCATCTAGTATTGAAGGAACTCCAATTGCGAAAAGCAGTACACAGACCGTTACAAAACAGCCTACATTTGCCTCAAATTTGGTTATGGTAAAAACAGCCTCCGGTAAAAACGTAATCCTAAAAGTGGTTCCACAAGGAAGCGGTAATGTGAGTCTTCCTAACCTCAAATTTTAAATATCTTTATTAATTTATTATATTGACGTGTTCAGTTGCCCAAAGCGGTTATTCTGAAACCAGCAAAGATCATTAAGAAACCGGTTGTACAAACTCAAGTCGTACAAGAGGAGGAACAGATCCAAGTGTTGGAAGAGGAAGAAGTGGGCATCGACGAGAGCGAGTTTGCGTGTCAGTCTTTGAAACAGGAGATTTTTGTGGACGATCTGGCAACGTCCGAACCTGACGAATCGCTGGTGCACGAAGAGGAAGTGATTCAAGAAGAGGAATACATAGAGCAGGATCCAGAAGGTAATTATTGTTTGATTAATAGAGTGTTTATATTTTATGTATGATATGATAGCAAAATATAAACGCTATATCACCACAATACACCAAAACACTTGTACTTTTACACAGGACGCGCATTTCGCAGGTCATCAGCAGGTCATTATAAACTAAACTACAATCTACAATTTGAGCGTTTATATACTCGCTCAGTGGGCACCGAGTGGGCGTGGCAAGATCTAGCCAATAGTAGTAGGAACAAAGAACTTGAAGGAATTGGACCGTTGTTTCTGTTCATACTATCTTTACATTTATTAATTCTGATGCTTTGATATGCATCTAATCGCCTGCAATTTGAGACTTGTTTAATTATTTTAAATTATTAAAATCTATACATGTACAACGCAAGATTTATCCGGTCTACCATATCTTATCTGAGCTAAATATTTAAATCTAGTTAATATTGATCTTCTAGTTTGCCCAACATATTTCTGATTACAATCTTTACAAGAAATTTTATAAATACCCGACCTTTCCAGTGGAGGTGTTTTATCCTTTGGATTACCTAATAATTGTTGTAATTTATTATTAACACTAAACACAAGTTTATAATTGACATTCTTAAACATTCCTTTTAGACCACGGGATAACTCTCATCAAACGGTATTGAAAAATATTTTGACGTATCTTTCTCCACTTGAAAAGTCGAATTTTCAGAAATCCTTAACCTATACCTACGTTTTCTAATTATTTTATCAACTAGTGAAGGAGAATATCCATTACACTCAGCTACATTCCTAATGTAATCTCTTTCTATTTCATATCTTTCGTTGGACAGTGGAAAACTAAGTAATCTATGAACTAAGAAATTTAAACTAGCCATTTTATGTTCAACACTATGATATGATTTATTGGGAATATATCTACGTGTAGTGGTATTTTTCCTATAGATATCAAAATTGCCTGGAATTTGAGCGTTTAATAATTGAACTTATCTTTTTTATTTCCGGAAATATGGCGGAAAACTTAAAAAAACTGAAGTCTGTATAAGTAGTTTCTCTTAAAAAATGCATAAAGCTTGATTTTCATGCATCCGTTGTCCGACGATACGTTGATACAATATTAATTTTATTGGTAGAATTTAAAGACTTTGATTGGTTAGAAAATAACGCAGTTTTTAAATTTATTGCATTTTCATGCCTCCGTTTATCGGATATACGTTGGTGTGATTTTATATTTTCGTTTCCATAACGATTTTGCTATTTTACTTATATTTTTATTAAGGTTAGATTAAATTTGTCAAAAAAGTGTCAAAACGTAGAAAATTAATTTTCTACGTGTCGTAAACTCTAAATATTATTTATATATAAATTTATAAGTAAAGGCGCGAATAGTCAGACGCTAAATTGATTTATGTGGTAGATGGAAACTCAGAAAACTACTTCTCTTGCTTAGTATGAAATAAATGAACCAATCTCGAAGCATTTCTCACGCTTGCGTAGTTCAAAGCTGTTGAACGAAAAGGACCGACTTATGTGGATTTGGTATAGTTCCATCTCAAAAATTTGGCTTCAATTTCTGTTCCTTACTAGCAATATAGCCCTATAACTAGCGTGTACCAGCGACTTCGTTCGCATCGAATTAATCATTTGTAATGGTGATGATAAAGCAAAGCAAGAATTTCCATTAACATACAAACTGGATAAAATGTTCTCACATTTATGTCAGCATGAGAAAAAACAATATGGCGATATTATTATATAACTTGGTAATATTTGAGAGGTAGTTTCATCTCGTTGGAATTTGACTTTCGAAAAATCCGTTTGCCAAAAATAAGCTTTTTACGTCAAGTAGTTTAAGCAGAATCGTGGTTAAGAAATTACCCAACTTTTTGGAACACCCTGTATGATTTTTAAAAAATTTCAAAATGTGTAAAAAACCAAATAAATTATGCTTGTCTAAGCGTTTTCCCGAAAGACTAACCGTTTTTTAAATAACAAATATTGTAATATTTGAGGGGCGTTTTCACCCTCTTGGAATTTTAGATTCGAGAAACCCCTCCTTATCGAACCTCTACACCCCACAGTCAATCCGTTTGCCAAAAATCAGCTTTAAACGTCGAGCAGTTTAAGCAGAATCGTGATTACTCAATGGTCATATTTTATGAAACATTCTGTATAAATTTATAAAAAATCTTAAAATATGTAAAACAACAAAATAAAATATACGTGTTTAAGAGTTTTTCCGAAAAACTCACCGGTTTTTAAATAAAAAAATATTTTAATATTTGAGGGATAGTTTCACCCCCTTAGAATTCGAGTTTCGAAAAATCCCTTCTTATCGAACCGCTACACTCTAAAGTCAATCTGTTTTCCAAAAATCAGCTTTTTACGTCAAGCGCTTTAAGCAGGATCGTGATTAATCAATGACCAGATTTTTCGAAACACCCTGTACACATTTTTAAAAAATCTTAAAATATGTAAAAAAACAAAATAAAATATACGTGTTTAAGCGTTTTTTCGGAAATTTTACCGTTTTTTAAATAAAAAAATATTGTAATATTTGAAGGGTGGTTTCACCATCTTGGAACTGGAATTTCGAAAAATTCTTTATATCGAACCTCTACACCCTAGAATCAACCTGTATACCAAAATTGAGCTTCTTACGTTGTGTGGTTTGAGTAGGATCGTGATTAATCAGTATGTCAGTCACTTAGGGATTTTATATATTAGTATAGATAACTGCACTAACTAAAACGCAAAAAACTAAAATACTTAAATATTATGACAAAACCAAGATTTTAATATTACATTAATGCGGTCAACGTGACGGCGCGGCGCTGCGCCGACGTGAAATACATTTGATTTCCGCTGTTGAAGCGCTGCGGTCGGAATTTGTTGAAATCAACTAAAATGCACCAAGCCTGTACTGCACTAAGTCGACACCTTATATAATTGTTACAGGTGTATTTGAAGAAGAGCTGGTTCACGTCCAAGAAGAAGAGGAGGACGAGTCGCAAGACGAAGAGGTGACCATAGACGAGCACACGTTCCTGAGCGAGAACATTTTCTGCGAGACTGTCCATTCCGAATCCGACGAGGTCGGAGTTCGAGAGGTGTGCGTCAACGAGGTCACGCTAGAGGAGGAGGTGAACGAGGTAACTATAGAAGAGAGCAACGATGTCGCTGTTGACAATTAGATAAAATATTTATTTATGAGTCTGGAGAGGTACCGCAACAATTTAATTTATACATTTTTATTGATACAGAATTTGTAATGTTTTTGTTTTTCGATTAGGGAGGAGTTTGAAATTGTAGGTTGCGCAGAGTGTTTTAGAATAAAAGTAAAAAATTTCCTTTATTTTGTTCAAGGTGATATATTTTTTAAATTAAAAAAAAATCACCCCATTTTTGTCGTATTATTATAGAAAAAGGGTTTGTGATACTTAAATTTCAAAATTATTGAATTTTTTCCTATTTTAGGTTATTTTAAATTTAATTTATCAAAAAACTTTTTAAAAATACGAAACTTTCAACATGTTTTTTTTTTCGCTATATAACTTTATACAGGGTGCTACAAATTCGAGGTACGAGCATTGGTAACTCGGAAACCGTAATAGATACGAAGATGGTTAAATTGGGGCAAAGTTGCGCCTTGGGATAATCACCAAGATGGCATCAAAAAAGTTTCAAAAATTTCAAGGATTGCTGAGTTTTTTGGAAAAAAACGGATTTTTTTGAAAATCAGTTTTGCTTTTTTCCTGTCGTTACTTTTTAGAAAATCAAAAAAACAATTGCACATTCTCATGGCCACTTTATTAGGGCTATCTGATAGTATTTTTAGATTTTTAAATTAGCTGATAATTTGTGAGATACAGAGGCCAACTTAATTTTTTTTAAATACGGACCTGCATTTTTTATTTCAGGTTTTGAAAGAATTTGGTCTCCTGAGTACAATGATATGCCACACTATACTATTTTTTTGTTTTGGGTATTTTAAACAACAAAACTATTTAATTATAATTTAAAATAATTTCAAGTCCGACTCTGTTTTTTTAAATTATATAATCTGATTATATTCATCGCAACAATATTGATCGGCGCTAATTAACATTGAATTAGGAAAATCCAGCCAATAGAAAGAATTCAAATAAATAATATCCAGGTCAGCAATTTAAAGATATAATTTTATAACTTTTTTTTATTGTGAATTTGAAATCTCAGTGGACGATCTAATAATATGCATAATATTAATGGTAGTTATAAGTCAACTATAATTATAAATAAGTCAACTTCTGCAGACTACTTTCTAATTCCCTACATGTTTGAAAGGGTTACCACCCTTCCTATTGTACAAATTTATTATTCATTCAATTTTATTTATAGCTCTTTGGACATATCTTCTTATACTTCCGAATGCATTTTGTACTCTTTACTGTAAATGTTGAAAAATACGAGGTAAAATATTGATTTGGTTTGGTTTGGATTTTTTATTACATTTGATTTTCTATTCAATGTTTTACCCCACATCATGTTGTCACGTTTGAAGGCTTATCAATATTATAATGATGAATAGATTAAATATTTAAAATAAACAGAACCGGACTTGAAATTAGTGTAAATAAATTGTGGTCAAATGTTTGAAACAAAAAAAAAGTATCAAGTGTGGCATATCGTTGTACTGAAGAGACCGAGTTCTTTCAAAATCTTAAATAAAAAATGCAGGTTGTATTTAAAAAAATTAAGTCGGCCTCTGTATCTCAAATTATCAGCTAATTTGAAAATCTAAAAATACTGTCAGATAGCCCTAATAAAGTGGCTATGAGAATGTGCAATTAGTTTTTTGATTTTCTAAAAAGTAAGACAGGAAAAAATAAAATTTATTTTCAAAAAATATGGTTTTTCCTAAAAACTCAGCAATCCTTGAAACTTTGAAAAAAATTTTGATGACGCCCCAATTTAACCATATTCGTATCTATTATGGTTACCGAGATACCAATGCTCGTACCTCGAATTTGTAGCACCCTGTATACGTGTTTCTGGGTCGAAATATACCACCACTAAAAATACAATATGATCGAAAAAAAAAACGGCGTCAGCGATGGCTATGAATTGAAGATCTTGGTCATTTTAAATGTAAAATTGTATGGGAAAAGTCAATATCGTCATTTCCAAGCCAACTGGACGCCGTTTTTTTTCGATCATATGGTTTTTGCACACTTACAAGGGCGGAAAAATAGTAATAATTGGTTGCACTTTTAGGTAGAAAAAATAATACCATACAATCGAAAAAAAGGAGTCAGGGTTGGCTTTAAAACGGAGATCACTGCCATAAGGTGAATGTCACTGATTCTCATTTCAAAACCAACTCGACGTGATTTTTTTTGAAAATACCTTATTTTTATAAAAATAAAGGAGATTTAACCAAAAGCGTTTAACAGACACAAAGACTTAAAAATATTAATTTTAGAGCTTTAAAAAAAATATCGTATAATCGGAAAAAACGGCGTCGGAATTGGCTTGGAAATGAACATCGCTGTCATTTTATATTTAAAATTATATGGCGAATGTCATCAATCGTCATTACAAAGCCATCTGACGCTTTTTTTTAATCATACGATTTTTTCAAGCGTGACATAAAAACAAAAAAATTATTACTACCATAATAATTTTTATTCATGTTTTTATGTGAATTTCATCGCTCACTCTGACGCTTTTTTTTTGATAGGGGACATTAAAATTAAATTGAAAAATGATGAGAATTATCATTTTACTCGATTTAAAAATACTACAGATTTTTATTCTGAAACATTCTGTATATACTGTATAAAAATTGACAAATTGTCGTTAAGTCTGTTCAAATTATGTGTTTTTCTCCAAGCAAAACACGATGTAAAATAGTATATTTTTTTTATGCTACTATACTAGTGAATTTAATTTTATTGGTATAATGTTACATTTAGGATAGACTAGCTAATTAATTATTTTAATTATCATTTTACACAATCGAATGGAATCCATGAATAAGTTGTAATGCTTATATTCCCGCTTTATATGTCAAATCTAAGTTACATAGCATCAAGTAAGTGTCATTAAACTATATAGGTTGCTTGATAACTACTGTCGTTTTAATTCAGCTGTATTTTCTGTCATTTTTTGGATGTTTTCTGTCAAAATCATCACTTACTTGTTGGACATACTATACCTAGTTATTACCAAACCTTTCTATTTTAATGACACTGAAAAGAAATAAATATTTTGTTATAAAAATATGTTGATCAATTAAATAAAAACTTTGTGTGCACTATGTGCACTTATTTGAAGTGGAACTTCTTACTAACAGCTACTAAATTGGAGTATATGAAGGACACGTTTGAAAAAGTGACATACAATGCTGTTTTAGTATAAATATTATTTTCAATTTATTTCTGTAATCTGTACATTTTCTGTTTCCTCAATAGCTTGCAAATTTGTGGAATACCACCCAAAATACACACTTTTATGCAAATACCTAATAATGTTAACGCTTAAATTTATTTAAGAAGAGAAAAAAAGTTGAACCTAACCAACAATTTGTATTTATAGTCGTTATACTGGTACCTTACCACTTTTTTTCTCGCTAGTTCATGCTTCAAGGCATGGTCAAGGTCAAGGCCGTGGTGTGTGACGGCCTTGAATTTTTACTCCCATCGCGCGTAAAGAAGTTTCACTTCACAATGTATCACAAAGTCAAAATTAGGGATATTAAGTATGTATTTGGATTCTAACCATCTCAAATTTGTTATTTTCAATCTTATGAAATAGTATAGATGTAGGCCACTATTTTTGTCTTTGGATTTTGGTATCATGTGTAGATTTTAGCAATAAGAAAATGGTTATTAAAGGCTTTTTTATTACAACATATAGTTAAAGTCATTTAAGAATCCCTGGTTTTGACATCTTCTGTTTTATCACTAAAAATAAAGTGAGAAAGAAAATGTTAATAAAAATAAAGATATCTTTTATGGGAATTCTTAAAAGACGCCGACTATACTTATTTGTACAGCAGGACAAACAGATTTGATATAAATAAATTACCGTTAGATGTTTTTTCTTAGATTATTTGAACATATGGTGTTATGCTTTTAGTTGTATGGAGTGTATCTACGTATGTAATATATTTATTAAAATGGACAACTAGAACGATAAGTATTTAAAATTGGTTTTGTTTATTTTTTGGATCCCCATTAATATTGGAATTCTACATCTTTTAAAACATAGACTAAGTAATTGATTCTAATTTTGTTAAATGTAGGTATAAAACTGAGTAGTTTTATTTTTAGGCTATTGGCTTCTAGCCTGGTATAAACAATGCTTCTAGTCACTTTATAAAGACTTAAAGAGATTTACCTAGCAGTGGCGTGCATATAATGTATGCAAAAAGTCTTTGCCTACCCCAGGTAATATCATAAAATCTTTTTTTTATATCATTACATTTTAACTTATTATTAATCCAACAAATAAAAAGGGTAAAGGATCTTCCACGTACTCTACAGACCGCAATGACTGGAAGGCCAATGTGTAAGAACGAGATTGAAAAAGTAAGTAACGCCTGGTTTTTGCCAGCGTCGCGCATACTGCTGCCTTGTGCAGTGATGCCAAATATGAAAAAATTTTCCCAATTTATATAAAAAATAATTATTTGGGCTACTTAATTAAATACTTACGCTAACCTTATTTTATTATTTTGATAATTGTCGTAGCCTTCTTTGGGTGACGTCACGCTAAAGACGTGCGTTAGGTCTTCTTTTCTCGATGGTAATGGTCTCGTCAAAGTTTTATTTTATTCCGACTGGTCAGGTGCTTTAGGAATTTTCTGCACTTGTTTTGATTTAGTTTTGGTGTTAACAAGTAAGTTGAGAACAAATTAAGAATTACTGATTTTTTACATTATCTTAAGCTGAAGGGAATTACTGAAATTAAAGGAGACAGATTTATATTAAAAAAAAAATAAAAGGCTCAAACATGCTTTTTTAAATTAATTGCTTTTCAATATAGAAGTAACAGAAATGAAATAAATCTGTGGAGTTGCATTCACAGTATTTACACATTTGTTATAAAGCAGTGGTGATCGAACAAAAAACAGCGTCATATTACCTTATAGATGTTAGTTTTTGGTATTCGTCGTATAAAATGTTGATGGCCATTTCTTGGATAATTTTTTATTCTATCAATATTTTTGCAAATAGCGTATGCTATAAAAAAATGGCGTCAGCGATGGTTGTGAAATGAAGATCGCTGTCATTTTATATGTAAATTTATATGGGAAATATCATCGATCGTCGCATTTCCCAGCCAACTGGACCCCGGTTTTTTCGATCATACGGTAGCTAATCAATAAAAATATAAAAATAGAAAAATGCAGTCAAGTAATTTATATACTGTAAAATATTTAT